AGGCTGCAGAAGCTCAGGATTGAAGTCAGTTTGTGAGTGAGAGAAGGCTCAAGAGTCAGTCAGTTCAGTGAGTGCAAATTGGGAAGAAGCAAACCACTTGTGTCTCAGTTGTAGCTGCAGGAATGATTTATTCCATAAATTGTCCAACTGTCATCATCATAAGGTCAGTACTTCAGTGTGAACTCATTTGACCTAATACAGAGTACAGAGGCAGTAGTTACTGTTAGAGTGAAGGGCAAGGCTGGCAGGAGTAGGGAAAGGCTGGATAGTGAGAGATATTGAAGCTCTGGTCAATAATAAGAGGCATACGTCAGGTATAGACAATTGGGATCAAGTGAATCTCTTGAAGAGTATAAATGGAGTCGGGGCATTCTTAAGAGGGAAATCAGGAATGCAAGAAGGGATTTGAGATAGCCTTGGCAGATGAGGCTAATGATAATCCAAAGAGATTCTACAACTACATTAAGAGCAAAAGAACATCTAGGGAGAGATTAAGGCCCCTTGAAGATCAACGAGGTTGTTAATGTGTGCAACCATAAGAGATGGAAGAGATACTGAATGATTATTTCACATCAGTATTTACTGTGAAGAAAGACAGGAAGGCTAACGAACTCGGGTATTAAATAGTATGTCTTGAAATCAGTCCACATTACAGAACAGGAGGTGCTGGAGGTCTTAAAAAAACATAAAGGTGGATAAATCTGCGAGAGCTGATCAAGTATATCCCAGGACATTGTGGGAAGCTAGGGAAGAAATTGTGGGGCCCCTGACAGAGATAATTATATCATTTACAGCAATGGGTGAGGTGCTGGAAGACTGGAGGGTACCTTCATTGCTCAGACCATTGAGTATAGGAGTTGGGACATCATGTTGAGGTTGTACAGAATGTTGGTGAGGCCACTTTTGGAGTACTGTATACAATTTTGGCCGCCCTGCTACAGGAAGCATATAATTAACTTGGAGGGGGTGCTGAAATGTTTTACAAGGATGTTACTGCGACTGAAGGACTTGAGTTATGAGGAGAGGTGGGATAAGCTGGGACTTTTCTCACTGAAGAATAGAAGATCAAGGGGTGACATTATAGACTTTCTCAAGCACTTTCTGTTTTTGTTTCTGACCTTTCTAATCATTGGGCTATCACTGGGCTTCATCTATTTTCTCCTCCTCAGTATAGTCACACAGTACCATGGGTGCCCCTACACCAAATGGTTCAAAAAGGCAGATGACCACAACCATTTCAAGGGCAATTAGGGACAGGGAATAAATGCTGGCCCAGTCAGTGATGCCCACATCCACTGAATATTTTTAAGCTTTCCTAGACAGCAACCAATAACACTAAAATTATTTTGAGTCTGACCGAGGCTGCTGCAAAGAAGTGTTTGATGGTTCATTGTGCAGGATTGTGACAGGAAGCTTGCACTCTCATTGAAAGATGATCCGAAACTCACGTTGATATTCTGGGGACATGGGATGGTCTATGAGACCATCCTGATGGGGGCTGGACGTGTAAAGGGATTGCACATCCATGGTGAAGAGGAGGCGACAGGAGCCTGTGAACTGGAAATTGTTAAAGCATCAGAAGAATTACGGATGGAAGTGGGAAGAGACTGGACAAGGGGAGAAAAAAATCGAGTCAAGGTAGGAAAAGATGAGTCCAGTGGAGCAGGAGTAGGCAGAATTAATAAGAACCTTTGCTCTGTTCCAGGTAGATCCCAGTAAGGAAAGACATTGGCTGCATGTGCTCGCAGATGGCTGTCGGCTTGCCTTGCTGTGGAAGTATGGGGGCATCTATCTGGACACGGATATCATTTCACTCAAACCCTTGAAGTTCCAAAACTTCCTCTGTGAACAATCAAGTAATTACGCTAATAATGCAGCTTTGGGATTTAACCGCTCTCATTCTTTTGTCAAGATGTGCTTAAAAGATTTTGTTGACAAATACAATGGAGCAGCTTGGGGCCATCAGGGACCTACCTTGATGACCCGGATGTTGAAGAAATGGTGCGGTACTGATAATCTCAATAACGTCCTCAACAAAGATTGCAAAGGGATTGTGTTCTTGTCCAGCAACTGGTTCTACCCAGTTCCGTATCCAAATTGGGGAAGGTACTTTCAAAAAAATAAATGGAATAAGAACAATGATACTATCGAAAATGAATTCTCAAAGACCAATGGAGTGCATATCTGGAATTATATGATTGGTCATCGGAAAGTTGAAATCAAAGGTAGTCGATCGATAATAGAATACTTCTTCAGTGAATACTGTCCAAGCACCTATAAATCTATTCCATTACAGAAAGAAAAACCAGCAAAAAAATAGTCACATCATCAATGAACATCCCAGTCATACTGATCCTCCATGTTAAAGTGTACAAGGCAGGTCAGAACAGGATGACTCTTGGACCAGTTTTGGTGGTTTTTCTTTCTGGGATATGTTAACCAGCATTTTTACACTGATTGTTAATCATTACAAATGTCACTGCTAAGCAAATCAATCACTGTGGCTGATAAATGGAGTCTCACTTGGCCCCATCTCATTGTATGTTCACTGGGATCTTGCTGCTGTGTGCGAGACTGCTGAGTCATGGTAAGGATTGGGTTTCTGTTTTACTTGCTGCCTTGGGTGACAGGAGGAAAGATGTAGAGGGAGAAATGGGGTCTGGGAAAAGACAGATGCTGTTTCCCTTTTGACCATCAGACATTTCTCCAACAAGCTGGAGATTAATCCAACCACTGGCCCAGGTCTCATACTCCCTTTCCCTCTTATCACCCAGCCTCTAGTTTCTGCCCAGAGGTAATTCACGCTGTAAAGGAGCTGTCCTGTCTGAGCTGGACTCTGTACATACAAGCCTGAAGGATCTCAGGCGCACCCTCCTCCTCCCACCCCCCGCCAATAATTGTTCTGCTCCTCATTAATAAACCAGTCAGCAGTGGCCTGGGGGACTGCAAAACTTCTCAATCCCAAAATTGGAATGTCAAAGCAATCTCTCTGTCTGTCAGAATTCCTGCCCATCACTTTCCAGCATCTGTAACAGATTCTGCAGGTGTCATGGGACACAGGAAATGGGAATCCAATCTTCTGCATCTCTGAACTCAGGGCTTAGTCTTCTCTTGAATAATACATGGTGTTACTTTCTGCTCAGTAAGCACTGTGATTACTTTAATCGAATCAGGGACAGTTAAACTTTGACCCTAAATCATTCTACTTTAAGAACTCAGGGACATTCCTGCAAACCTGTCTCTTGATGGAATTCCACAACCATTGTGTTCCTGATCACTCCGTCTCTGTTTATTGACTGTGACAGGGATTTGTGGAATGTGGGGTTTAATGTTGGTGATTCTGCCTGCATGAACAATAAGGTTATACCTGACACTGAAATTGGGATCTGAAAGTCGCTTTGATCTGAAAGATTCAAAACGACACACATATTTCTGGATCAGAGATAGTAGGAACTGCAGATGCTGGAGAATCCGAGACAACAAGGTGCAGGGCTGGATGAACACAGCAGGCCAAGCAGCATCAGCCTCTCTGCTCCTATGATGCTGCTTGGCCTGCTGTG